AAAAATTGTGTTCCTGCTAGAGGAAACTGAGAGAGAGAGAGAGAGAGGAAAAAACACCTAGCTAGACTTGTTAGGAAACATACATCCCTCCAATCTATATGCATGTATTGGGAGGGATTCTTGAAAGGGAAATTAGTTAATTTTCTTCCACTTCCGTCCTAGTCATCTCCATGCATTGTATTGTGGGAAGAAATCGAATGGTTTTACCCTAGCTATTAATTTAGGCGACGATGAAGGAATCGAAAGCTAAAACAAAAAGGTCCTTGGATATGCATGATCATTACATTGATTCCAAGCTAGTTCTGGATATCATCTTCACTAATTTCATGTTTCGAAGGCATAGCAAGCTTTTAATGGTAGTGTGCACAGTCCAAATTTATATAATAAAGTGGTGCTATATCAGGCAAAAACGGTGCAACTGAACCCTTGTTTTCATACGAAACCGCCGGTTCCCCAGCAGCCCTTTCATGAGAAAGCAGCAGGGGTAGGAGTTCTCGGTCTTCCTCAGAAAGCTTAGGGATAGAGTAACGTTAACAAGCTTCTGCTATAGTGTGTGGTCACTGGTCACGGAAAGTGTTTATATATTATTTATGTCCTCACTAGAACTAAATTAAATAAGCGACGATACTTAATAGAAAATGTTTATGTGTGTAACAAGTTTGATCTGGAATAACTTATAATATGATCCAATGTTAACCCCTTAAATAAGCGACTTCTGCCAATGCTTTTTCTCTCCTTCAATTCATTATGGCTGCTTCTTACAAACAATAAGTTCTCTATATATCACACGCAATGCATGCTACATGCACACGTATAGAGGGCTGACATGTGCATTTGACTGACCTTTGCTACTACGTGCGCACTGAAAGACGGTGCCCAAAGAAGGACTAGGAAAGATGCCATTAGCTAGTAATGTTTTTTTGCCTTTAATAATTATTTATTTCTCTCTCGGTTTGGAACTAACCTTTTGTTTTATTCGATCGGGCAAGCTTAAGTGATCTGCAAGGGACATGCAGTCAACTACGTACACGCAAGCTTAAGCTTCAGGATAGATAGGTAGATACAGATGTAGATATAGATATATAAATCTCTTTTCTGTCTCTTGAGTTGGCTTGATCCGATGTAGAAGTAGAGCCAATGAGCCATGTGAGAAGTCTTCCTTGATCTCATTCATAGTAAAAGTTGTCTATGTATCTAGAAAAGATAAAACGACTTACAAGTTAAAAAGGATGGAGTACTATACATTATTAGTCTAGTTCACTCTGTTACATATATTCCCACAATTACATATTCTAAAAATTTTAACCAACAAGTTATACTATCTATCCACCATCACAAATAAAAGTATACATTTCTGTGCTTTAATATCTTATCATTGCTATATATGTAGGAGTTGCACAAATCTTGATGCACATCACAAAAATGTTACGGGAAAAAAAACTTGATATAGCCTTCTTAAAACTTGTCCAACTCCAAAATAAAGTGCACGAGCACCTCCTATTGTCAATGTGCACCGTGGCACACATTTTATGATTGCTCCCGTGCAATATCATCGTCAACTAACTACAAAACATAGCATGGTTTTATCGGATTCCTTAGCTCCCGATGCGATCTCACTAGTACTGATTATAAAGCGGTATTTTGTCGGCTATCAGTGGCAGCAGATTATAAAAGTGTTTTTTTATTAGCTATCATTGGCAGCTGATTATAATACGGTTTTTTGTTGGCTGTCAGTGGCAGCTGATTATAAAGTGTTTAGCTGTCAATGGCAGCTGATTATAAAGGCATTTTCTCAATTATCATTAACAGCGTACTTATAAAGTGGCGTTTTATCGGCTATCACTTGCAGCTGATTAGAAAGTGGCATTTTGTCGGTTATCATTGTGGCAGCTGATTATAAAGTGGTTTTTTGCGGGTTTGATTGTTATTTATTGTTGTGTGTCTCACGAAGAACTTTCATTACTATATACCGAATGTGTTTGTCCAATGTCCAATCTTTTACATAGAGTTGGGTTTTTTTTATTTTTGATACTTGCTAGTAGATAAATGAAGAGATTGGTTATAGACCCATGAGCAGAATAATGCATATTTATTGTTTTCTTGCCTTTCCTTTCTTGGTCTTACAGCGTTGTTCATTTGTCACGTAAAAAAAAGGTTCTAGATCCTATCAATGATTACTCCACACATACTTGGTATTGAGATTGACATTATCGTGAGCCGTTTGAAAATGGATCATGACTATACGTAACATCCACAAGTTTGAAACTTTTTCTTACTAGTCCTCCACATACGTGTAATTGGCTCTCAGGCAAGGTTTTGCCTTACCTTGCCTTCTTCTTATCACTACTACTCAACATAAGCCTCGTAGGTTCTCAGGCAAGGTTTTTGCCTTACCTTGCCAATAGAGCTTGCCTTGCTTGCTCAGTTCGAGCGAGCCGGATTGGCTCTCCTATATATGGCAGCAGGGAACTGGATGCTACGAATGAGACTTGGTTTCGAATTTAGAACACAAGTATTAGCGGTGATAGAGGTCGCCGGCGTTCTCGAGCCGCCTAGAACCGATGCCAACCAAGACAGACTCTGTTTTTCTCCTCTCCCCTCTCTTAACTACTTTCTGTTATAGCTGTTCCACAGAGCGATCACCCGATGCAACGGGTTGGGCTACTTTCCCCATTCTGGCCGGGCCGCTGAATCGAGTGTCGGGCCTCTTTACTGTTGGACTCCTTGTTGCTGGCATGTTGTGGACGGTACGTACCGTAACAGGAATTTTCTCTTGCTAGCACAAGCTCCAAGGCAAGCTATCCTAATTCCTACCGACCAAACAGGCATGCCTTTTCATTTCCTAGCTAGGCAAGGCCAGGTGAAAAAGTGCAAGGGGATCAAACAGCCATTAGTCTAAACCGTGCTAGACAAGAATATGGTCCTCGACTATTTGTTAATACTTCCTCGACGTTGCATATTGATCTTATTGAGCGTATGGCTAGATCTTGTCCCATATATATGCAGTAGCATATAGTATATATATATGCTGTTGAATAGATTCATATATATATATATATATGATTTCTGTAGAATTATATAAATTGTCTTCCTCCTTGTTATTGATGCAAAAATTTAAGGTTAACAAAATTCCATTTATGCCTTTGGCTTCAAATTTCATATACATGTTCCTATTTGTGTTGCATATACTTTTTGTACAAGCCACCACTGTTTCGAGCTCTGCTGGTTTGGAATATATAGATTGGGACAAGCTTCTGCAGGCTATATTGTAAATACATGCGTATGTATACACAACATAGCATAAAACCAACAAATCCCCAAAGACTTTAAATTTGCTCACACAAATTAAAACACACGCTAACCAATAAAACCACGTAAGAAAGTTACAAGCAAAGATTGGCACTGCTTTGTTTAGACATGTGGAGTTGATGAGGTGTGGTGTATTGTGACTTTATCCTAAAATTTTTGATGGAAACACCTCATTCGTGCATGTACCCAATTATTAGCTTACGAGGGATAAGTGGTGGAGAATCAACCCATTCTAATCCACAAACTCCAAAATCAAACAAAAGTGATGGGCGAGAAGATGATGGTGGGCTATCACATTTCTCAAAACCAACACACCCTATAATTTCCTCACTAGGATTTAAATTGCTATCTAGCATGGCTATGTAACAGCTAAAATGTCTTGGGTTTCATCAGTTGCCAGCCAAAACTCTGGTCATTTTTGCTCATTATTCTTTTTGGGTAAGTGGATATTGAGTTCTCTGAAACGAATAGCCCAATATGCATGTGCGCAAAAGGGCCAGATTAGCCATCCAAAAGATGAGAAAGACACGGATCAGAGAGAGCGACCGGAAGGTCAGGGCACTACCGACCTGAACATGGTCAGGGCACTACCGGCGCCGCACCTTGACGGCGGCGCTGCTGCTCTTGCTGCATGGTCCTATTGGGACGGAAGCAAGTAACAAACCCTGCCCACCAGCCGTTGTCAGGTTCTGATGATCATTCAGAACTGTACTTTTTTTGGAAGAAATTCAGAACTGTACATCGATAGATCTAATTTAACTGAATCCAAGAAATGCTCATGGGCTCCACCAGCTGTAGTCCCCTAGGCTTTTAAAGATGGATCATTAGCGTTAAGGAGAATGATTAGCTGTTGGAGTTGGAACATCCATCCTGATGCATTTTTGTTCAGCTAAGTGATGTCTGACACAGAAATGCAGAATGTCTAAATGTGGGTGAGATTATATTATTTTCTATGGTGGGAATTTGATATTTGTCTTTGCTAGTACATTATTTTCAAGATTGAATAGAAAAATTCAAAGCATGAAACTTCGAGTTGCATCAAGAAGCTTAACAACATTGTCTGGGTCAGAACTTGCAAAATTTGTGATCGCTGAGACATGATACCTTCAATGCACCCAATATATTATGTACCCTTCCTATCAATTAAAGCTTCTATACATTTACCATATAAGAATTACAACAAAATTATGCATACAAGAAATGAATTACCTCATGTTTCTTTCAATTCTGATGTGGATGAACAGACCTGTCTACTAATTCAAAGTTACAATACTACTGTTGCTTCATGGCGGGAGCAAAGAGTCTGAGTGCCTTGTGACAGATTTAGTTTTAGTTGCTTAGGGACAGTTTTTTATTTTTGCTCTGTGGCGCACCAATTGATTTTGTGACTCCCTCCCTTGCCTCCCTTGCTCTCCTTTCTTCTTTTTTCACTTTATCCAAGGGTTTACCTAGGAAGCATTGTATTCATAACATTTTCTTCTATCTTAATTCAAATGATGCCTAGCTCTCTCCTGTGTATTCGAAAAAAAGGAACTGTTGCTTCCTTAATACCAGCTTCCTCTCATGATCTTACTGATAGACATCACTGCACCAGTGCTCTTTTGCAACCCTGCCCCTCTTCTTTTTCAGTAACTCGGTTTACATGTATCGTTGTGCAAAATCATCAGGATGTTTTGTTTTCATTTACTCTCTTATGAGCACTTGCGAGAAAGCTGAATCAAAGAGTTGGCTTTCCTCTGCGCTCTACTTGTACCTGTCTTTGCAATATCAGATAGATGTTCCTGTAGACCCAATCCAAGTGCGTGCACCATAAGGGAGTTGTTATGCAGACCTAGCTCGAGGAGAACAGAAAGTGCACACTCCTTGTTCTTGGGAGTCCCTTCCTTTGTGATCTGAACAAATATCTCAACAAAAGACGTTGTCCCCACTTCACTTCGACAACCAGGATGCGATGCTAGGAGGAGAAAAATGGACAGTGCTTCGTCTATCATGTCCAGTTTCTTGTCGCCGAGTATTTTCAGCAAAGTAGCCACGATTCCTGCTTCAATAGCCCTCAATTTGTTCGGATGGTTCAGTATCAGATTAAAGAGTGCTGTAGCAGCATCTTTCTTGCCTCTTATTGTCCCATCCCTTAAGAGGGCCACTAAAGGAGCTATACCACCCAAAACCCCGATAGCCGCCTTTGTTCTCATCTACCATAGACAAACTAAACAATGTCGCTGCTGAGTTCTCCTGACCTTCAACGCTGCCATTCCTAAGGACTTCAATGATCAAAGGTAACGCTCCTCCTTTTGCTATCAGAACTTTGCTGGTCTCATCAATCGATAAGTTCAACAATGCAGTAACAGTGTTCTCCTGGATCTTCTTATCAGGATAGGACACCAAGCTAATAAGAGCAGGGAGCCCACCATTCTCAATGACCAGTGCTCTATTCTCTGGGTTTTCTTTGGAAAGTGTCCGGATCTTCTTGGCAGCCTTCCGCTGCACATCAAGATGAACAGAGGACAGATCTTTCACTAGCTTTGGAATGTCTTCTTTGCGATCTTCCTGTTCGGCTACAGGCTCAGATTCTCCCATCTGAATCTCAACTTTATTCTTTTCACACCACTGCAAGATCAAGTTTTTCACCGCAAAGTTTGGTGCCAGTGACAGATGAGCTAATGGTTGCTGCGTCTTTGGGCAGGTCCGCTGGCCAGCATCTAACCACTTCTGGATACTTCTTCTCTCATAAGTCTGCAAATCAGGTGAAATATAGACTATGAGAAAATAAATCTCGCTTTGCAATCAGGGAACATGAATGGCATAGCACAAAGCATACCCTCCCACTCGCAATGATGACAGGGTCAGTCATGATCTCGAGTGATATTGGACAAAGGAATTCATTTGGGATCATCAAAGATGGGCATTTCTCTAGATATTTTGGTATGGAAACATCCCCAAGGATGTTCTTTTCGTCGATGCCTGCAATCTCCTTGAACTTGTTGAGGAGTTCTATTATGTGCTTGGTGCTTTCCAGTTGCTGGCCATTCCTCTCGTTGATAAGCTTTTTAATGGCCATAGTCTCTGCTCTCAAATCCGCCAGGCTTTGCAGCTCGAGCTTCTTGGCTAGCCTTTCCAATATAGCTCTATCTGCATTTCCATCCTCCTTGTTCTGGAGTATCATCATAAAATCCATGGAGAGCTCCATGTCCTGAGTATCACTTCTCTTCTTGCATCTCTTCAATTGTGCATTGATGAGCTCAACCTGAAACCACCAAAGCAGTGGCGGTTTGCATCAGATAAGAGAACACGATGGACCATTTCATTTTACCAAAATGTTGGCAAATATTTACCTGTTCCTTGACTTCATCAGAAATGCCAATCTCAGAGTAAGGCATCCCATCCAATGCAAGATTCATCTTCTCATACACGGCCCTGAACCGCCCGAGCACAGCCTCGCTCTCCAAAGCCTGAAATTTTGGGACAAGATCATCAATCAAAATGCAATATTTTGGTCTGCACATGGCACAGACTGACAGACACGAGGTAACAGTAAAGAAGATACTTTTAGGCAGTGCAGTGCAGACCTAAAATGGAATTGGACAAATAGGACCCACACAAACAAATTAGGATTAAAATGTAACATTTTTACACACTAAAAATAATCTGATCTTTCAAACAGGACATAAACTGGAGTATTGAAATGGCAGCAGTTTTATTTCAGAGACCGCCAAGAAGAAGGGAATGGTTATGCAGTCTTATTACCAGGAAGATCTTGCTGCCGTCGTGGCAGCAGCGGAGGAGGCGGCGAGCGGCGTGGAATGCGCGGCCGAGGAGGGCGAGGCAGCGGTAGGCGTCATCGGTGAGGGACGGGCCGATCTCGTGGATCTCCTGGATGAGCGGGAGCACGAGCTGGAGCCAGCGCTGGAGGCCGAAGGACTCCTTGCGCTGCGAGCGGCGGAACTCCTGGAACGACCGCGCGGAGGCGACGGCGGCGAGGAGGTCCTCCACCAGGGCCTCGTCCGACAGCTGCCTCCCCGACGCCTCGGACGGGTCCGCCTCTGGCTCCGGCTCCGAGTCGCCCCCGGGCGCCACCTGCCGCGGAAGGATGGACCACGACAGCATCGATCGGTCAATGCGCTAGATGGTGTGCGCTGAATCCTCCGGGGAAGGGAATGGCGACGGAATGGCAAACGAACGTGAGGAGCAGGTGGTGGAGAGAGCAAGAGGAAGAAGGCTTTTCGCGGGCTGAGCTGAATTCCAGGGAGGGGCCCTCAAGGGCTGCCATTCCCGATCTCCCGAAAATAGCAAATGGGAGAAACCCAAGAAATTACAACCATAAATTATATATGCAAATTAATACAATAACTTATAAACTGTTTAAATAGGTACAACAATTTGATAAATTAATACATCTACGGTGCAAACAGTGGTAGTGTGACAAAATATATGATAACACGTTTGCAGCATGTGCACTGTGCGTGAGATTGGTGAAGAGTACGGAGTACTTTATGATGGTTTTAACAACTACGAAACTGACGTCCCAAAACGGTTACTCCACAAAGTCGATCACCTAAGACTCTAGTAATGGAGCCTCGAATGGCCCAAAAGGAGGTGAACTAGGCTCTAAAAATTAAGCAAAAATACTTTAGTCTATGCAAATTCTAAAGCTCTAAAGTTTCTTAGCTCCTTAGTTCTTCTATAGAGCAAACTAATACTTCCTTAGGGCCAACAAGCTTAGCAAGGTTCACACTAAAGATTATGGTCCTTAGATTGCAGAGAGGAAACATATGCTAAACACATACTACCATGCGTCCTAGTTGTCACTTAACAATACTTGCAAACAATAAAAGTAATGCAAGAAAGGAAGAGCAAGCTAAAGAGATAACTGTTTTTTTTTGTCCTAGGTTGTTGTTGCCACAACCCCCTAATGCACGTTAAAGCATCTAAGTCACAAAGAATGAGCTTTTGGAATCTTTTCGCAACAACTTTACCAAGGAAGGTCACCAATGCCACCAGTGGACCGTCTAGGACTATCTAGGTGCTGGCAAACACGAAGAGTAAAAAGCCTTCAAGCTTCAAATTAAGAAACCCAAGCAAAAAAACACGTAGCACTCAAGGTGCCGGAATCAATACTAGGGTACTTGAAGAGGAAGAGTTAATAACCATCAACATTGATTCATCTGAGCAGTCAAGAGCGTGACTACAGCTCCAACCGACCCCTAGGTGTGCAAGCTCCGCCTCGCCCGGTGTCTGAGGACGGGCTCCGCCTCGCCCGACACCGAGGCCGCGGGCTCCGCCTCGCCCGACCTCTGGGGGCGGGCTCCGCCTCGCCCGACAACGAGGCCGCGGGCTCCGCCTCGCCCGACCTCAGGGGGCGGGCTCGCCTCGCCGACACCGAGGCCATGGTTCCGCCTCGCCCGCCCTCTCGAGGGTGGGCTCACGCCTCAACTCTAGGGCGGGCTCACCACCCAACACCTAGGCCGCGGGCTCCGCCTCGCCCGACCTCTGAGGGTGGGCTCAGCCTCGCCCGACCTCTGGGGGCGGGCTCTGCCTCGCCCGGCCTTTGGGGGGGACTCCGCCTCGACCGACCCTGAGGCCAGGGGATCCGTCTCGCCTGATGAAGACCCATACCGCCGCCAACCACTCCATGTCCAAGCGAATGGGCCTGGGTCAAAGCTCTAACACCAGGGAGGTGATCGCACACGCCCGATATAACTCAGGCCATGACGGGCCATACCGGGACTCACATCACGAACAACGTCAGGCGTACCGGTGCTGTTCTACCTAACCCTCGTATGGGCACTGATAGGCTCGTCAGTTCACCACGACGTCCGCCAGGACGGAGTGGAGCGCCACGACCGAGAGACGACGCCTGCGCATGGCACTAGTGATGGATAGGGCCGCGACATAGAGCTGTCCCTATTGATGTCTACAGGGTCGGCGGGACCTGTATGAAGGAAAAGAACACTACAACAGCATAGGGATACAGTAACACCAACTTGTGTTACTGTAGGTTGAAAAAAGTGTTACTAGCTCTCTTAGTAACACATTTTTTTGTGTTCCAATTGGCCATGTTACTATAGACTGGTTTATTGTAACACATCTACTTGTCTATAGGAACATTTGTCTAGTGTTACAATGATTTTTGCTGTAACACTTTTTTTCTCTAGTAACACTTCACATTATGGTGTAATACATAGTTTGTAACACATTTATTTATCTATGGGAACATTTGCCTAGTGTTATAGTGATTGTCTACTGTAACACTTTTTTAGTTCTAGTAACACTTCTACATTATGGTAGAGCACAGTATAGAACAAAGGAACACATGGTTTGTAACACTTGTTTATATCTATTGTAACATATTCGGATTAGGAAACAAATATTTGTTTCACCTATATATATGTGGTACACGGATTATTATAGAATCACACAAACATGACACATTGCAAAATCACATAAACCACAAATTTCAATAATCATAACAAGATCCGCATATAGTAGGATGATTTCAAACATAGTGCTTGTTCAGATTAAATCATAGTATTTGTACATAACGATATGGCTCTAGAGAGCAAACACACATAGTCCATACTAGAAAGAAAAATTCAAGAACTAGCTAGGATTCATAAAGTCCACAGCTTCTTCTTCCATTATTTTTGTACACATCGATGTAGAAATTCAACCATTAATCATTTGAACCTACAAAGAAAATGTAAGTTATAAGATTACAAATTAGGCCACATATGTACAATGATGTAAGTTAAGAAAGCTAGTTTGAACATACAAACATCAAAGGCCAAGCAATTGAGACTCCTTTGGCTTGAGCATCACCAATATTGTTGCACCCAGGCCTAGGCCTCACTAATGGCTCATTTTTTGCTATAGCATGATCGATACGCACTTTGTAGAATTGACTTCCTGTCTTAACTCCACCAACAATGGCTTCGGATCGCTGCTCAAGAGAGTTGCATAGGCCACATTAGCCTTATTAGGATATTTTGAAGTCATTAGTAGCACCATGGACCCAACGTACATTAATTTGACATAATCTCTTAGTGACCAACAACCCTTAGTTGTACATCAAGATCATGCAATTAGAACAAGTGTATTATGTTCATCTACCTTCATTACAGGAAGTTGTTTAGGTGCTTGACGCTTGTTGCATGTAACCTTATCATGAGCCACCTCCTGGTGTGCAATGGTTGTAGTCTCTCCAGGCCCTCCATGATGACCCTTACACATATAAAATGAAGTATGAAATATTAAGACAAAAATTCCTCTATAAATACTGCAAAGTGTGGTTCATAAATACCTTTTGTTTCTTTGTTGTTTTACTTGTGGTGGATAAAAGTAGACTGTCATCATCACTATATTCAGACTCACTTTTTTCTTTATTCTACTAAAGAGAAAAAAGACAGTAGCATGAGTTAATATAAAAAAATCCTTTGTGAATAAAATAGTATTAAATTCACAAGAAAGTGACTTTACTAATTCATCCCTGTGTTCAAGGAATCCATCATTCTGGTTGGGTGCAACACAGTGAACTCTCTAAAAATTTGAAACAATATTAAAGCCAAAAGACTAAATTAGGTGAAAACATGGAAAATAGAGCAAATACCTTTCTTTTAGAAAGCACCGCTTGATTCTGAGAATTGTTATGATCACTCCTAGCACAATTTCCCTGGAAAAGAAATAAAGTTTGAGTAACACATTTCAATACGAAGTTACAAATTAAAATGTACATTGTTACCATTGTTGCTTCTTGGTTCTCATGGTGCCTTTGATTGTTTTTTAGTTCTTCAATAACTTTGTCTTGCATTCTAGAATGCTCTTTAAGTTGCCTTATTTCCTCCAACATGTGAGTCTCTACATCATATGATGAGCCATCTAGTAAAACTATATTAATGTCCTTAAAATGGTGTGTTCTTCTCGACCATAAACTTGTTTAGAAACTGGAAGCAATCCCATGCCATGCACTTGTTCAGCTTTCTCTTCTCCCAACACCCGATGTAATGCATCACCTTCCAATGCAACTCCTCCCTCACTATTTTGTGCTAACTCTGGTTGTGTGTCTAGGAGATGTTCTAGTTCAACCTACAAGCAAGAAATCCGCACATTAGAAAACAGAAATAATTTTATATTTGCAAAAATTCTCATATGCATGTAGCATACCACTGGTTCATTTATCCCTTTTCCCCTTTTCCCCTTGAGTTGCGAGGTAAACCTTTGCTCTATGTGGCTGTTTTTTTTCAGTGTCAGGTTGCCTCTCGAAAAAATAGCAGTAAAGGAAAAGTAAGAAGAATCATATATTTTTTTAAAAAAACAGAAGATGACTCACCATGTCCTCATACCAACGAGCATAACTCTTTGTACTGGCTGTGTGTGTTGTCTTCTTCATTTGACAACTTATTTTGTTCTTCTCACTTAGGGTCTACAAGAAAAGTAAATTAATAGATAATGAACCATTATACATATAAAAATTAATAATGGTATAGATAGTGATAGTAAAAAAGCCAAATAGTGTCAATAATGGTGCCTTACTTGTCCTTCGCTGGACTTCCAATATTTTACTAGGGCCTTCCATTGATCTTCATCGATATCATCTGGACAACGCTTGTTCAAAACAGACTTTTTCTTCTTTGGATTAAATAGTGACTTTTTTAATGTTGCCTTGTATTTTCTCCAATCTCTTCCAATTGATTTCAATATCCATTTCTCACATGAATGAGGATATAAGAACTTTGTCTAAAATAAGAAAGTCACTAATGAATGAATTTGACTTCATGATATGATAACAAGCATATATATACTTAATCTTATAAAAACATTATGTCTTGTAAAATTTAGCTAACCTGAATGAATTGAATTATGGTTTCTGCATTGTTTTTCTTAACTTCTCTCCAATTTTTGGCACCAACAGGACAATAACCACCATTTCTTGCTATGGTGCCCAAAAATTGTCCTAAAAGGCCACCTTCTTTTTCAATGGGTTGTCCAAGCATATTACATCTTACTACTATTTGATCTCCTCCAAGTAGATCCCAAACACGTGTTAAAACAGTCCCCTTTCGTTTACTAGGTACTTCGTCGCCATCACCTATTAAAAACAGAATGATAGCGATAGTAATTGGTTAAGATGCAGTCCATATGAATGAGATTGATCTAACTACATTTGTACCTGATGTGTTCTGGTTCTCATCATCATGCCGCTCAACCTCGGTAGCATATAGTGCTTCAAAGATGCATTACATTTAATCCTTTCTTTTCTTTGTACCTCCTCTTCCCTGCTAAATAAATGTTGGGGACATGAACACGTGTTTATAGTAAATATAATAAACAATATGTAATTTTTTTATTAAACAACTAGATATTTATATTAGACTTTCAAGATTGTATTTATTAAGTCACATACCACGGTGGGGTTGGATATGCTAATCTTGGATGAAAATAAATCATTGATAACTAACATGACTTAGAATAATTGTCCTTGAATAATCAAATATTAAATTATATGTTCATTCTAATACCTTTATTTTTTGTTTAGATTTGGATGGTTCTTTGTTGGACTTGGTAGGCGCTAAAAGTGGCCAGATCTACGCCTCGTCACAAATAAATTAACCGCCTTTTTTGCTCTCACACTCGTTGAGCATTTCCATCATATCGAATCTTGTTGTATTACAACCAAGCTATCTTTTCTCTTGTAGTATAGATAGTCGACTGATGTGTACCTAGAACCCTCGATCGATCAATCAAGTCGAAAAAGCATATCTCATCTCTATCCATTTCCCTTTGCACATGTTTATGTCCTTCACTTTCCCATCGCATTCCGTTTTATGGTCCAATTATCCACCACCATGGTAGCACAATCTAAATAAAATATAGCACCAATAGGAAAATAAGAATAAAGCATGGGATAATTCACAAATAAGAATCAAGTATAACCGAATAGTAACAATTTGACTAAAGTGCATATTTGTAATGTTATTTGAACTTGGAGCTTGAGAACAAGTAAAGTGCTATGGTTCAGATAGGATGGTCTAAAGCATGACACATATATACGAACAAAAATAGTCCAAAAGGTTCTTTACATTAAATAAGATATAAAATTAACATGTGTGATAATTTATTTTTCCTAACATTTAGGAGGAAAAAATCACTGTTATTGTTTTGCTTGATTGAAAATTAACTTTATATATAGTAGTGTCCAGTTAGCTTGAATTAAATAAACGGGCTGACATACCATGACACTAGTGAAACAATCAAGCACTAAGTCGTATACACATACTGAGTAGAACTGAAACAGATGTCATAAATAAAATGTGAAAAGTCTGCCCTTTGTTTTGTCCCATTTCAACCATGCACAAAAAGCTAACCTAAGAAGCTAGCAAGGATTGAATAAATAATTACTAAAAGCATGAAAGCAGAAATTATTAAGAGATGGATCCACTGCATCATGATAGGACATTTCACAAAAGCATACTAAACTGCTGCTCGGAGTATTCTGTGACATGAATGACAAAATGCTAGCACTTTGCCCTTGCCTGTGCGAGCAAATGAAAGCTGCAACTCCATGAGCATATAAGCTACCGATGCACTGCTACCAGCTTACCTAATTGTCGAAGTGCAGCAGCTCAGCTCCTCCAGCGACCTGAAATTACAATGTTTTTAATCCTCTTTCTCCTCTGCTGAATTCTAAATCCCCCACCACAAAGTGTTTCCACGAGAAAAAAATGTAAATAAATCACCTAGACAGCTATATGCAGCAGCACTATACAACTGAGATGAGCTGTCCGTGTCCTGCTCCTTGGAATGTTGGAGTGGCTGCTGCTAGGATGGAGGAACTAAGATCAGATGGAAATAGCATGGCGAGCAATGAAAGCAAGAGCAGGCAAACTATTTCATCTTCTGGAGAAGACATTTTCAGAAATGGCACAGTATGCAACTGAAGCAGAGCTGCTTCAAGCCTCATCAAACAAACCAAAACACCGATGGAAAAGAAATCCAAACCACGGCATCACCATCTCATATGTCATGGGTGTTCTACTCTAACCATTAACACTAACAAAGATTGAGAATTCATCTGCAGTTTCTGGGAACCGTAGAAAAGGAAACCTTCACCAAAATCTAAAATTGAAGGTTGCTGTTAGGGGATCAAATTGATTGATGACAAAGATATCTTCTCACATATCCTACCATCAGAACGCCTAGATTCGCCCTAAATCGCACACAAAAAGGAAGAACGAAAATTCCACAAAATTAGCTCTGAAATTTGGAGATTCTTGTAGACAGATCTACCGGTAGAAAACCCACATTCGACAGGATGGCAGGATTCGCAGGAACTCAAAGATCCATGCAGAAAAGGAGAGGGTGGAAAGAGCTCGGCGTTACCTGCAAGAACTTGATCTCGTGGAACGTGGTACGAATGGTGTGCAGGCTCCTGCCCTTGGCCACGGCAAGCACAACGCTGTGTGAGGGGAGAGGAGATTTGAGTCCTGACGGAGGGAGAGAAGAACCGGAGGAGAGGCAATGCGGATCGTGGGAACGAGAGAAGCGGGAGGGACGACAATTTTGGGGTCGGCAAGACCGGTGGAGGTTACCCGTGTTCCAAGCGCCGAGGCGAGGGCAGATGAGGAAGCAGCTCCCGCGGCCCGAGATGAGCGCGACGTGCGGCGGCGTCGGGCGGGAGAGAAGAACAGACGCGCGCTCCGCGTTGGAAATTGGATCTCTCGTTCTATTCGCGGTGATGCGAAGACGCTTTTTGTTTTTTATCTAAAAAAAGAATTTCCTTGATTTTTTTCCCCGCGTTCCGTTTCTTTCTCTTTTTTTTTGCCTTTTCATACGTCAATGGTCTGCGTGGTCTGCCCCTGCTATAATTTTTTTCGTTTTTTCTTCTGTGGAGTGTATCTCTCCGTTCCATGACTTATTTTTTATTTTTTTCTTGTTTGGAGTATCCCGTTTTTCTCTATAAACATAAAAATAAATAATAAATATAGTATTATGGCCTTTGAAACTTTGATCCTTCCTTAACAAATAAATCGTGGTTATCAAAATAAATAAATAAATAAATAAATCGTGAACTGAAATATTCATTATTAATAATAATTGTCTTTATGTACATGTGTTAAATACTTATGTCATAATTCCTATTTGTATAATGACAATGCTCTACTAAAACCAAAAAAATATTCTATTTCGATTTCATGCTATCCGGATTTGAAGTGAGTATTTGGGACACAAAACAAATTCAAACGAAAACGGTGTCAACTACAAAGTTTTAAAAACTTTTCAAGATCTACAACTTTGGTTTTGGTCATTTCTCCGTCTGAAGCCGTTTATAAATTTTGAATTTCAAATATGAGGAAATTTGGCCATAATTTTCCTTGGATAAGTAATTTCAAATGAAAAAGTTGTCAACTACAAAGTTGCATAAGTTTTCAAGATCTACGACTTTAGTTTTGGTGGTTTCTTCATACGAGATCGTTTGAAAATTTTGAATTTCAAATGTGAAAATTCAAATATAATTTTCGTTAGATAGACGATTTCAAACGAAAAAGTTGTCAACTACAATATTGCATAACTTTTTGATATCTATAACTTTTGTTTTAGTCATTTCTCCATATGAGTTGGGTATCCGACCCTCGACGTCGAGGCGACTCCCACTACGTCCATCGACCAAGTCATGAAGGAGTCGAGTCGCCACGACGCCAAGATGGTCGCATCTTTCTTGAGAAGTCTCGCCACCGGAGGACAAGTTCGACGACCTCGAGCTCAATCACATCCCGAGGCGTCTCAACGGCGGGCCGACGCTACCGGGCGAAAGCGGCGTCCGGCCGAGAGTCGGTGCCGACAGGCATCTTCGCTAGCGATCCGCACAAACCCTCGGTCCGCTATGAGAAGCCGTAACAAGCCGGTGATGGGCTATCGGCCTTGGGCTCGGGGGCTAACCAGTCGTCGGCTCCATCTGACCCCGAGGTCATGGAACTTGACGAGGCTCCAACGACAGAGCTTGACCCTCTGGCCGACTGGAGGATGCCTTACCTTGATTACCTTCTCCGCGAGGCGCTGTCGATGGACAAAACGGAGGCTCGGCGGCTCGCGCATCGCGCCAAGTCTTTTGTCCTTCTTGAGGGCAAACTCCACAAGCGAAGCCACACTAGGATCCTGCAAAGACTACATCCTCATCGAACAAGGGAAGCGGTTGAGCGCGATATCCACGGTGGGATCTGCGGTGACCATGCCATGCCTAGAACCCTGGTCGAAACGCATTCCGTCAAGGCTTCTACTAGCCGACCACAGTAGCCGACACCAAACAGATTGTGCGCATCTGTGAAGGGTGTTAGTACTACACTTGGTAGACCCACCGCCAAATTTAAGCACTCCAGTGACGATCACCATCACATGGTCGTTCATGGTCCGAGGGCTTGATCTAGTCGGACCTCTCAAAAGAGCGTCCGGGGGCTATACCCACTTGCTTGTCACCGTAGACAAGTTTACAAAGTGGATAGAGGCCCGACCGATCTCCACGATCAAATCCGAGCAAGCCATGTTGTTCTTCCTTGATATCGTCCATAGCTTTGGAGTACCGAACTCCATTATCACGGACAACAAAGATGCGGTTTATCGTGAAAAAGTTCCTCCAATTCTCGATGAATATCACATCCTCGTTGATCGGGCCGCCGTGGGCACTCCCCCACATGAATGGGCAGGTCGAGTGCACAAACGACATGGTCCTATAGGGCCTCAAGCCTAGGATCTTCAACCGGCTGAACAAGTTTGGCGAACGATGGGTCGCAGAGCTTCCCACGGTGCTCTAGAGCCTGAGGACGACCCCCAGTCGGGCCACCGGCTACACACCATTCTTCATGGTCTACGGTTCTGAGGCTATCCTTCCGACCGACCTCAACTATAGAGCACCAAGGGTCAGGGCCTATGATGAACAGGGAGCCAAGGCATCCCTCGAGGACGCCATGGACCAGCTAGATGAAGCGTGCGATGTTGCCCTCCTCCGCTCGGCCAAGTACCAACAAGCGTTGCGACGGTACCACAGCCGTCGAGTGCGGGGTTGGGCCTTCAACGTCGGAGACCTAGTCCTCTGCCTCGTCTAGAGCAACAACGACCGCCACAAGCTCTCTCCGCCATGGGAGGGACCGTACGTCATCGCAGAGGTGCTCTAGCCAGATGCCTACAAGCTCAAGACCATCGACAGCGAGATCTTTGTCAATGCCTAGAACATCGAGCAACTACGTCGCTTTTACCCTTAACAAACGCACACTTTCTCTTATCAGTTTCGCTATCAAACTCCCCAACCTTTAGTGACACCCGACCCCAGCAACGGCGGGGGTCCAGCCTCACTCAGGGGCTCATAACAGCGTACCTATCCAGTAGACATTCTCTACACCCGATCTTCTCTCACGTTAAGACCTAGAACCAAGGTTTGCGAAAACAAACGCTGAGTAAAACTGGTCGGACTATGAGAAACCTACGCCACGGCAGCTATAGCATCTTTGCTCACCAGCGTGATTTAGTTTTTTCTCGTGTGCCCTGTGCTTTTTTGCCTTAGCTACCGAAAAAATCGGTGCGCATCTAAGAGTATATCCACCGCAAAACTTTCTCAGGCTCTCACCCCTCTCACGTTGAGACCTAGAAGCTAGGGATACGAAACAAACTCGAGTAAAACTGGTGGGACTACGAGAAACCTATGCCTCGGCGGCTACGGCATCTTTGCTCACCTACGTGATCAGAATTTGTTCACCTACACCCCGAGCTTTACGGCCTTAACGATG